CAATCCGCTGTGTCGCTTGACATGGCCGAAATATTTCAGATTCGGAGATAAAATGCTGTTTTCTAGCCAATCATCCTTGATGTTCAAATCTTTCATGTCAATATTTCTCTTCTTCTTTGTCCCTGTTATTTGGAGAATTTTTGTATGGCGTATAAGCCCAAAAGCTCCCATTTTCTGTTGTTTTTCTATATCTTTACATGCCCTTCCATCTTTTTGCTACATATTTTGCAGTTTACTAGGAAATTTGACATTGTGCAGTTTACTATTTCTTCTGAATAGCTCGACGCTGATAAGCTTTTGTCGAAATCAACGCAAAGCATTCTAGGAACAAACCGCCAACTAACCACGAACCCTTTCATATTGAAATTATGACACCGAGGACAATCGATCCGTAAGCCACAAACATTCATCCTAACAAACTTAGTACTTCACATTTGCTTTGCCAACATCTGCCTTCATTCCAGCTAGGACGTCAAACATGACAGGGAAACAGGAATAACAATCTGCTATTCAAAGTCGACATCTGTGCCTGTTTTCTGGTGTATGTATTCTCTCATCCCCTCTGGTGAAGAATGGTGCAAAAAATGTGCGTCTCAAGAGTCGAATGCAATCCAAAGGGCTAGCGTGCGCACAGCGGACAAGATCTAATGACATCTGTTATCTTCTTGACCGCACATTTTCATTGATGCCCTGTGATCTCAGGCCGGAATCTCCTGATTTTTATTTTTCATAACAGTGTTAATGATGCGAATTTCTCCTCATTATGATCTCTTTTTCTAATTTATCTGTCTCTCTATCCTCTCTCTCTCTCTCTCTCTCTCTCTCTCTCTCTCTGTGTATATATGTGTATATAATGTATGTGTGTGTGTATATATATATATATATATATATATATATATATATATATATATATATATATATATATATATATATATATATATATATATATATATATATATATATAGGTTAGTTGAGTATCCTTTACATGACGTTGCAGAACCAACCCTAACAGCCCCTGGCTGTTGTGTGGTTTTTCTAGGCAAATTTACGTCCAGTAGTTTGACATTTCTCCTGGACGGTCGGCTTTCTTGATACCACTGTCGAAACCAACGCAAGGCGTATGGCCCGCAGCTGGGATCGAACCCGGCAATACGAAGCGTTCGCATCGACTTAGCCACAGAGCCGACTATGTATGTATCTCAAAAAGAAACTCAATCACTCATTTCTGCTATACTACTCTCATCTCTTGCCACCTCCTAAATCGTTATTTCCCTGTCTGTCTGTCTGTCTGTCTGTCTGTCTGTCTGTCTGTCTGTCTGTCTGTCTGTCTGTCTGTCTGTCTGTCTGTCTGTCTGTCTGTCTGTCTGTCTGTCTGTCTGTCTGTCTGTCTGTCTGTCTGTCTGTCTGTCTGTCTGTCTGTCTGTCTGTCTGTCTGTCTGTCTGTCTGTCTGTCTGTCTGTCTGTCTGTCTGGCTAACTTTAATGATAAATGTTTACCACATAAAAAATCCATTGCGCAAAATAAAATATTTTAAAGTCTTCTAAATAAATCTTAAGCATTTCTAATAAATCTATACTGACGAACGTTTCAGCTTTATAATCATTGCTGGAAAAAATGCTGAAGAATTGATCCTGAATTCTCTGTTTCGTCCTGTCACTGTGTCGCTTTTATACATAATCACTATGTGAAAATGCCATGTCTACGTGAAATCACAGTACCGCCAATAATATACTCTTGACTGGTGCTTCCGAAGGCTATCAAAGTCCCAATACTGTCTTGGTTGATCGATAAGTGTAAACTAACTGTAGTCAATTTGTCATTAAAATGAGGTAGGAATTTTGACCAATGAGTACACTGAAAGGGTAAATGTGATACCCATGTGTAATGTATAGAATCGGCACAAGCAGTGAGCAAAGCAATGAAAAAACATTCAACAGAAACATCACAGAAACGAAAATCAGCTGACTGGATGGAACGTTGGGTATAGTTTGTTCTTTGTTCTTCTGTGTGTGTTCGCATGTTGAGCAATGAGTGATGAAATGATGAAGAAACGTGGAAGAGAGTGGATGTGATTTTTGAGAAAAATTATGAAAATAGGACGGTAAGGGATTAAAATAAATTCTTAGGCACTGAGAGCTGCGGGTGAAACAGAATCTACAAGTACACTGCTAAAAGATATGGACATGGGAAACTAGATTTAGGTAAAGAAAATTAAGGCTAAGAAAGGCAGAGAGTGAAATTTTCTCCTCCGTATTATTCTTCTTTCTTGCCCTCTCCTCTGTCTTCTTCAGTGTCCTCCGTTTCTTCTCCTTCACTCTACCCATACTTCTCTTTCCTACCTGCAATCAAGCAGAGACTCAACCACTTTACCTTAGCTCTCCTCTTCCTCTTTTACTGCTTTTCTAAGCCCATTACTCCGCCATTTTTTTTACCTATTGGACATGTTATGACGGATAAAATGCGTGTTCTTGTAATTCATTACTAAGTCTAGCTTTCATTCCTCAAAAGTTCTTCATCGTTATTCTACCTTAATTTATAAAAGCCTTAAAAGTCTATGGTTGAGCACCAGCAAGGAGATAAAAATTAGAATTTTGAGTTAATGCATCTTCCCTGTGGCTACACACGGATGTGAGTCGTGGACTATCTCTCAGTCCTTAAGAAAGAGAATGGGGGCTTTAGAGCTGAAATGCTATAGAAAGATTCTCAGAATATCTTGAACAAAGAAGAGGAGAAATATTGACATCTTGAAAGATCTGAACACCAAGGAAGATTGGCTAATAAACAGCATCCTGTCTCGGAAGCTGAAATATTTTGGTCACATCTAGCGCCACAACGGATGGGAAAAAAATTATAACAGAAGGCGTGGTACCAGGAAGGAGGGGCAGGGGCCGACCGACATGAAGATGGGCACAGGATATGTGACTCCTTGAGTATGAAAGTACATGAGGCGGGAGAACTAGCGAGAGACCGAGTTTCTTTCAGGCAGACAGTGACGAGAGCGACGTTCTGCAAAGGACCTGCTACATGATGATGATCTTATGTTTGTTTGTTTTAGTATCCAGAAGCTATGAGTTGTTAACCCTTAGGCTCGGTATTACAGATATCGCAACCTTTCGGCCTTGATTCCATTCTTAATACCGTAAATCTTGGAGAAAATTTGGCTTTCCTGCCTACCGCCGGGATTGAACCCACACCACAAGGAGTTCGTCACCCGGTCTCCTTGCAATCCGGTTTAGCCAACTACGCTAGAGAGCCGGGCTATGATGATCTTATACGTGGTCCTGCCCTTGCTCTGTTTGAATGAACAATGTCTGTAATGTACTGATCCATTTTCTAGGAAGCTTTTCCCTTCTTATCTTAAATGTTACTAACAGGTCGCATTTTCTGCTTTAGATAGTTAAACCTGTGTGGGTTCTGGTGCCCTATTTTAGAGAAAATAAGAACAGACCCACAGCCTACCCAAAAGCGTGTCGTAAGAGTCGACTAATTAGAGCCTTTTTTCGAAATCGGAATGCATCTGCCTGACAGGCAAGAAACCAGCAGTCTGCATGCAGATGGGTCAGATCTGTAAAACTGAGGCGCACGCTACACTCAGGTTCAGGAACAGGACAGCAGTCCGAAGTGAGCAAACAACCAGAACTTTCCGCCAGAGTTTACAGCCGGTGAATACAAAGAAGAACTTAAAACTTAACCTTTTCCTCTTGTTTCAGTTAGGTTAGCATTTTAAAATATTCTTTTTATTGCCATCCGTACAGTATTATTTGTACGTAAAATGTAGCGAAGAAACAGGTGTATAAAACAAGTAATATTGTATAAGTTAAGTAGTTGACTGAACCGTTAGAACAGCGAGCTTACATTAATTAGATCTGTCTGAGGCCAATGTCGGCTCTGTGGCTAAGTCGATGCGAACGCTTCGTAATGCCGGGGTGCCGGGCTCGATCACATCTGCGGGCCATGCACCTTACGTTGGTTTCGACAGTGGTATTAGGGGCCGACCGTCCAGAGGCAATGGCAAACTACTGGACGTAAATTTGCCTAGAGAAACCAGACAACAGCCAGGGGCTGCTGGTGTTGGTTCTGCAACGTCCTGTAAAGGATACGCAACAAACCTGAGGCCAATATAAAATTCCTAACCATCTCGGCCATCTGACGCGCGATCCTCAGGATGAAGAACGCAATATTCTGCTTAAGCCAAACCACTATACAAACATACAAGGAGGAGCTGCCAGTGTGGCTTTTTTAAAACTGTTGTATGACTATGAAACATGAATTGCATTGGATACTTTCATTTTAGCCCATCCCACACACAGGAACGTCAGAATCTCCGGGAAAATCCCATTTTATAGGAATGTTAGCGTTAGGAATAGCGTTAGAGTTTGTCAGTATTTACTTCAAACCGTAACACTCCTATAAAAGTTGACTTTCCCCGGGGATTCCCCGGTTCCCCATGTTTGGGGGGAAATAAATGAAAACACACTGCAGCACATTGCAGTTTGTTTAGATATAGGCCTACGCACATTGCTGGTTTCTCGCCTCTCAGACAGATGCACTTTGACTTCGGAGGAAACATCCCTAATTAGTTGATGCGTTCGACATTATTATTAGAGGAGCAGTGGGTCTATCCTTTCCCCCCCCCCCCCCCACCTCTTCCTCGGAAAATGGGGCCCTGGTACCCATAAGGGTAGCTTTAAATATTAATAGCAACTGATATGTTAATGATGAATGGTTTGAAAGTCTGCATGCCCAATTTGCGATTCTTCGAAATGAAGTTTCTTGGATTGTTCATTGATATGACCAGTCTCGTTCTGACTTCTTGAAGCATTCCATTGTGTTGATAGTTATCTTTTAAGACCAAGTAGAAGCGCAGGCACACAGAAAACAAGAAAACATACGGTGGACCCTTGGCCCCAATACACATTTTCAGGAGCGGACCTCAAAGGGCGTACGCTTTCGTGTTTTGTCGCCCCTGCCCAAACGATCAAAACAACAAATATACTTACATCTAAAAACTCCGGACGTGCATTATACACCACGTGTCGCTGCCCAAGGTCATGCAGTAAGGCCACCATTTTTTCCTCATTGTCCAGACGAGCCACAACCTTCTCTACCGCTCCCATGACACGAAGCACGTGAGACCTGAGAGCCGTACTGGCTTTGAGTTCCTCCACAGTTTTGTCACGAAAGGACAGGAAGGTGCCTTTGATCTCTGGCTCCTCGAATAACCTGTAGACGTGTGAACAGATGATTGTTAATTACCGCGCTTCCAGAAAATAGGTCCCTGCTCTTATATTCATTGATTCCACGTGTAGGCTCCGGAGGTCAATTTTGGAGAACAAAGCGCAGACCCACTGCCTCCTAGCAAGCAAGTCGAAGAGCAACCTGCCTGAGATGCAAGGAATCAACAGCCTGCATACAAATAGACCATATCTGTAAAACGAATATGCACGCAGAACTCAAGTTCTGGATCAAGACCAAAATCGAAGTGTCGGCGAACTTTCCGCTGGAGAGTACAGCCGGTAAACGTTAAGAAGAAGAATATTAATTATTGCCTCAAAAGAAGGCTCTGAGGTCCTCACTCCCTCCCCCATGCCTAATTTTTTCCAAACACTTTTATAGTTCTTCTTCTGTGTTCATCCGACGATGTGTTGTACCCGTTTACAACATAGCTGCGATATTTGTGCCTTTAGACTGACACATCCTGCTTTTGCTGCCATTTGTTGACTGGGTTAGCCTTTCCAGTTAGTTTCGCGGAACACTGCAGTCTCTGTTGTGTGGTCACCTTTGTTTCCCAGGTCACAGGTGGAGCCCCACATCAGGTCGGCCCAGAGAAGCCACATAATGCTAGTCAGCCCTCAAGAGAAGGCAGGGTCAGACAATGAGCACTCCCCGCCATCTAATGAGCCTTCCATAAATACAGAGCCAATACATGGTGCACTGGAACTAGGCTCTCTCTCTCTCTCTCTCTCTCTCTGTTGTTGTACCATCACACAAGCGATAAACACCCTGTGACACAAAGTGCCACCATGCGGATGAGGATCACCAGTGGAGAGGTCCCAGAAACCCCTTTTAGCCGTTACTCCATACTTATAGCCCGGCTACATTCAGGACCTCGACAAAAGCCAGGGTGGGGATTCAATTAACGAAAGATTTCATCCCACACGCGGACGACTATACAATAACGAATCATTATAATGTGCTCAACTAAGGAATCGTCACATCCTGTTTATGACTGTTTAACTTCTCTTCCCTACATTGGGCATCTCATTGATCATGGGCTATGTCGTTAGAAGCCAGCAGGAGGCAGCCTGCAGACCTATGATTTCAATTACCTACACAAAACGAGCAGGGAGCCGCCGTGGTCTAGCGGCTAGACGCTCGCCTGCAGATCGGAAGGTCATGGTCATTGTCGAAATTAATATGGCTGCCAGGTCGACCCAGCCTTGAGTGGATACCAGGTACAGTCCCAGAAAGTAAAGGCGGCCGGCGTAATAATGACAACATCACCCATCTTGTGCCGATTAGTCAATAAAAATATAGGTCTAGCCCTATATGCCTAAAGACGTGGAAAAGGGGACCTTCACTTTTTTTTAACTCTAGTTTTTTCCCTACAGAGCATTTAGTGTGGCAGTATACGGACAGATGTATCTAGGTTTCATTTTCTTACCGCCTCATGATTTCTTAACTTTGGACTATCAGCTCCGAGAACCCCTGAGAGTTTTCTTCTTATAGTTTAATAGATTCCGTCGTGCGATTGTTTAGTGAAAACCTGCCCGCATGGCAGGCGTTCTTAACTAGGCATATATTTGGGAGTCCATTCACACAGCTAAGGCAGAGAGAACCAAGTTGCACGTGATATGGTTGGACCTCGCCAATGACTATTGGCGGTACCCCATAGGTTGATGTGACGCACCCTTCGCAAGTTCCACGTACCGACACAGATCACCGAAATGATGGAGCAATATTTCTCGAAGTTCGCCATAAACTTTATTATCCTGACGTTTACTACGAGATGGTGTCACATACTGCTGATGTCACATGCCTTGGTAAGGGTTTTTCCTGATAAACTAATTAGCACTCTGAAGTGGTTATAAAATGTTGAGATGTTGGCTCGTAATGTGCTAGGCGGAATCCCGCAGCTCCAATGAACATCCAACCTACTTCAGGGGTGAGGCGACGCAAATTATGGCACTACAGAACATATAATATTCCTAGGCGCAACTTGGCTTGACTTCCTTACTTCTTCAATTAAGCCCCCAGACTAGATAGTATCCTATCCTAGTCAAGGTAACACAGTTAAACAGATCAACACTTCACACACTCCAGGCAACTAGGAACAGTGTAGGATGGACACTAAACCAAGAGTGTAGATATCATAAACATACTGAAATAAGTTTAACCAATATAATGATAAGGCAAAATTATTCAATGAAATCAATGACACTGAGGAGACAAAGACAATTCATATATGACCAAAACAAGGGTTGCTCCCATTAGCAGCCAAGGTCATCAGGGCAATGTTGTGGAATCATGGCACAGTGGACTAGGCACTTCGGGTTTAGAGTGACCACAACCTCTGGAATATAACTCTCTGTTTCGGTCCGGTCCACTGTAGCATATCACTTCTGCATCTGGGATGGTTGACACCAATGTTCAGTTCCTTTACACATGAACGGCTACACTAATGTTCATATACATGCACGGAATTGTCTCAGGTACAATTTTAAAATAGGTTTACAAATACTGTAGATCAAAAAGGACAGGCAACCTCTGGCTTCACTGTACAGTTCCCTGGAGTGGATCTCTCCTAAAGGTACTGTTGGTCACTACCTGGGCGTAGGAACAGACATGTCGGCAGGCCGCCATGCTAGTATCTTCTGACAGCTGGGGGGGGGGGGGGGGGGGAGAAATACTGGTGATGTAGATATGTGGTGATTGTCAACCTGGCCTCCAGTGAACTTATAATCCCAAGCTCTGAATTCCTCCAGGAAACGTAACTGTTCCTTAGATTTTACAGAATTAAGCACAAAGGCAAAACACGTCTGCTCTCTCTTGAAGCTAGATCGAGAATAGTTCTGACACTAGCGTCTCTTTCGAAGAAGGCGGGAAAGAATTAATACGCCTTAGGCGGTGATATGCCCATAGGACTTTTGGCAATAATTACCCCTGAATCTCTCAACTACGATTATAGATTCAAAACTATAACGTTCCCAAGAGAATTATTACATTTAGGAGTACTTAACTTGACCCAGAGACCTATATTTACAAAGGATTGACTATATACCTATAGAGGAAGGGCTATTTTGAAACTTAGCCTCATCTGCATAGAGGTGACAGAATCTAAAGGAGTTCAAGACTAAGGGGTGGCTTGGTCTGTTACATGACAGATGGACATAGCTCCAGGTTGGGATAGCAATGGGATGTTCCGATACTGTTCGTTATGGCCATGCAGGTCATGTTAGAAGTGGCTGCCAGCTATGGGCAAGGCTTTCAGATTAGGGACCATTGGATGCCGCCACTGCGTGCATTTATGGGTGACACAACCATCATAACTGGCAGTGAGGAAGATGAACGCACTATTCTGAAAAAGTTAGACATGGTGTGGAGTGCACTTCAAACAGAAGTATATTTCGTATATTTAAACGTGTGCATTCACCATAGCTGCTTTTGTGAATTTTACTTGACAGTCATATTTTGTGTATTGTTAAATTGGTTTTGAAGATATAATACAATTACTGGGTGAAAGATGTGCGTTTGGGACGGATGAATTCAAAACGAGTCTGCGGGTCCAGTTTATGACCCTTTTTTCCCCTTTTCTTCTTCTTCTTCTTCTTCTTCTTCTCTTCTTCTTCTTCTTCTTCCTCTTCTTATATGTTCAGCCTTAAAAGAGCGGTTGCTATGCTTGGTTTAGTTTTACAGCTAGGCTGTGGCGTAAAGACCTTTTGATTTGACACATCTAATTAAAGCAAACAATTGACCCCCTTTTAGGGTCAGTCGGCTACTCATTTTTGCAGCCAAAAAAGGCCTCCAAACTCATACTCGAAAGAAAAAAAAGTGTAAGTGCCGCGGAAATGGGAGTTCTGTAGGAAATGCAACAAAATACCATGGACGGGCAAAACGAATGAGATAGTCCTTCTAGAAACAAATGACTACTGTAAAATGATCGCACAAATTAGACCTACCCAGTTAAGAAAAATGGTTTAAATGTTTTCGGGTAGAGTTACAGGACTTATTTGAATGCTGTTCGGGTGTTACTTGATTGGTCTAAAAAATGAGTCTAGACTCAGATTTCAGAGGCGCTATTGCCGTGTAACGTGATCTTTTAACGCAGGGAACTAGTCTATTTGCTGTTTCTAATTAGTCTATTTGCTACTTTAAATTTAATTTTGTTTTAACCAAAAATAGTCAGAACATATGACCTTTGTTTTTCGCCTTTTCCTTTCTTCTTCTTTTTCTTCTACTTCGTTTTCTTCTTCTTTTTCTTCTTCTTTTTTTTTCTTTTTCTTTTTCTTCTTCTTCTTCTTTTTCTTCTTCTTCTTCTTTTTCTTCTTCTTCTTTTTCTACTTCTTCTTTTCTTTTTCTTCTTTTTCTTTTCTTTTTCTTCTTCGTCTTCTTCTTCTTCTTCTTCTTCTTCTTCTTCTTCTTCTTCTTCTTCTTCTTATTATTATTATTATTATTATTATTATTATTATTATTATTATTATTCTTGTGCTACTACTATTACTACTACTACTAGTACTACTGCCAATACTCCTACTACAACAACAACAACTACTACTACTACTACTACTACTACTACTACTACTACTACTACTACTACTACTACTACTACTACTACTACTACTACTACTACTTCTACTACTACTACTACCACTGCTGCTGCTGCTGCTACTACTACTACTACTACTACTACTACTACTACTACTACTACTACTACTACTACTACTACTACTACTACTACTACTACTACTACTACTACTACTACTACTACTACTACTACTACTACTACTACTACTACTACTACTACTACTACAAAAACAACAACTTTTACTACTAATACTGACTGATGGCACGTTTCGTCTTTCCAGACGACAGTGTTATACTGTTTTGCGTTATGAGGAGGCATGGGACTCACAGTCCATGGTGATGGCGAGTGGGACTAGAAAGAGCAGCCCGTGTCAAGAAAAGTCTTCCACAATGATAGCATGGGATTTCAGGACCGTTGT